AAAGGAAGTATTGCGATAATTTGAATTAATCTAGAAATAAAAAAATATATATATGTTGTATAGAGAAAATCTCTTAATAATTATAAAAAACCTCATGTATGTCAGTATTACCGCCACTGTCAGTATTAGCTACACTTACCTTATATAATATTTATTCTCGTATGTTAGTTAACTTGAACTTTCGTATAATTTTATTATAATTTTTTCACAGTATAAGATAACTTCAATTAATGTGAGTATTAGGGATTGACCTAAATGGATACATAGTATAAAGTAGATACGCGAATTCGCATAAGGTAACCGCTTTGAACACATTGCGTAGTGTAACATTTTTTTATTTTCAATTTGTTATTAGAAGAAAACACAAAAAAAAAACATGTATCCACGCGTTGTCAAAATCAAAAATTCCAATACGTTGTATAGGCACGTAACTCATTTAGTTCACTTGATTTAAAATATGCGGGTATGAGAACATTCAGAGAGAGAAAGAGATTGTGAGCATTGAAATTTAAAATTAAGAGAATGAAAAATCGAAATATAGCACAAAATCTAATTATCCACTTACTCATTCAAAAAACACATACTTATTCACATTAATAGAAATTTTTATTTCAAGAAAACATAACGGCACCACCCTGTCTTTATAATTAAAACCAAAAATTTTTTAATTATCGTGAAAATATTTTTATCGAATAAATTTGCGAAATTTTAATCTTTCTCGAAAATGAGCAAATTTCAAAGAAACGAATATCACCAAAATTATTTTGCGTTTCCATATTGGATTTCATTCAAAACGAAGAAAAAGGCGAAAAAAAAAAACAAAAGAATAAAAGTTTTTTTTTTTTTTTAGATAAAATAATGAGGGTACACAAGAGTTCATCGTTCTACTAAACGATTTTTGAAAATTTTGCAAACTTTTCTTTCATTTGCCCATTCCACAGTTTATTTTTTTCGTTTTTTTGCCAATAATTTTGTATATTGTGAATCGCATATTGCGACTTTGTCTCTTAAAATATTGTGTGATTTTTATGCAAATGGTTGTATTTATAAACACATATACACAAACACATAGCATGTAAATTATCTATGAAAAAAAAAATAATAGTTAAAAAAAATTTATTTTCCGTTTTAAAATATTTTTGTTTCACTTTGAACTTAATCATAAATTTTCTAAATTTTTTTCAGCGAGTAAAATATTCTGGAGTTTATGCATGTGTGAGTGTGGCCAATATCTTTATTATTATATGTTATCAACCTATCAACCTATATTTAACTTTCACTACAAATTTAGAATTTTATCAATAAAAAAAAAAATAATTTTTTTTCTCAGTGACTAGGTCATTTAAGAATATTTTTATTTTTTCTAATATTTAAAGAGTTAGATAAGATTTTACGATATAGGAATAAAAGATTGACCGTTTTAATTCTATGATAAAGTTAATAATTAACCCGTTATCGACCATGGTTTCAAAATGGGTACTAAAAAAAAATTACACAAAAATCATAAAAAAACTAAACATAAATTTGTACAGAGCAGTCAATGAAAAAGTTTTGAGCGAAACTACTTAGAAATATACATAAATGTATTAAATACCCATGACTTCCAAAATGCTGTAATATGGTCTATAGGCGTGAATTGCTGAATTACTGCATTTTTAAAATCCAAGTACTTTATTTATTTAGTAGAATATGAACTATTTGATTGGGACTGATTCACAATCCCAACCTTAGGAAAAACCAATTTAATTAACTGAGTTTTTTAACTGTCATTTGTCAAAAAATTGACATTTTTGACATAAGATAAATTCTACAATGCGTCAAAATTCAGAAATATAATATTTAAGTACATAAGTAAAATATATTGTAATAGCAAAATATCGCCGAAGCTTTAAATTGTCAAATCGTCTTATGGACCCCATCTAATTTATCTACTTTATACTACTGAATATCACTTTTATTCAGCAATATATTCAATTGTACTGCATTATATCGTAGATTTTGCAAAGATCATCATTACACATTTCTATGAATATACTTTTATTCTTAACTATAAGTATGTTTTATCGTATGTATGTATGAATGAACAAAATTTATTCTTACGAAATGACGTATCCCGGATTGATAACAAATATAAAGAGGATTTAAAACCAATGAAAAAGATAATGAAATTAAATATTAATAATGTACATATTCGATTAAGTTTACTAACTGTTTGGAATTTCAAGTGTATTTCTAGAAATTCACTCTCTTCTAGATTAAGAATTAATGATAATCAAAGAAACAGAAACCTCATATTAACACTTGAACGTAAATTGTAATAATTTATTATCAAATAATTTTATTTTACATACTATATAAGTACATATATTTACTGTAAGACGACTGATTCATTTTTATATCGCGGAAATAATATTCTAAGAATATGCACTAGAATTTTTAATCTATGGTGATGATTTTCTAAGACTTGACGTGTTAAGATATTAAAGTAAAATTTTTGAGTTCAAAGTACTTAAGTATGTTTGCAAAAGTACTTGTACAAAGTACTTAAATATACATACTTACATACAGTGACTTTAAAATTCCATTTAAGTATGCAATAATAAGAAAAGTTAAATTGTAATTAAAAAAAAATGACTCATAATAAATTATGAATTAAAATTGTTTAAAATTATATTGACATAATTAATTATTATGGTTTTATGTCAACTAAGTAACATAAAATTATTGAGTAATGGAAATTTATATTTAATTATAAGTTATAAAAATTATAATAAAAGATCAATGTACAGAAAACACTAAAACAATCGTATAACACAAGCTTTAAAACAATCGTATAAAACAAAACTCACAATCGTGAGTTTCAGACGTTTAACATACTTTAACCGTCTGAAACTCACGGTGTTTGAAAAAACCGTCTCAAATTCTCTAGAACAGAGTTGACAAACAATACAATCTACTCCACCAGTACTATTACGATTGATCACAAGGGATAGATATATGTACACTAAGCACACAATCACTAATTGATGACCCAAATTTCAAAGTTTTCTACAAGGATTGCAAGAATTATAAGTAGTACTAAAACTATTTCGAGAACTGCGGCTCAAAATTTTTCTGTTTTATTTTTTTCGTATTGCTAAAATGTTCTTGAATCCAAATAATTTTTTCGATTAATAAAGGCAAAGTAAGCTGTGAATTTTATTTAAATTGTTGAATTATTATGTTATGTACGAATATAAAGTTATGTACGTGAGTAAAATTTGTATTAAATACAAATGTAAACTTTTGAATGTTGATAACAAATCGAATATATGTACGTAAATTTTTGAACATTACGTAGCTATTTCGGGTAAAAACCAATATATGTAGGTACTTATTATATTGGAATTCTAATAAGTAAAATAAGCGTAAATAAAATATTGCTTGGTGTTAATTTGCACGTGTCTTGTCACATTTCACATTTTTTTTTTATAATTTTCATATTACATACATATGTACTTGTTTTTGTTGCTCTCCAAACTTGATTTTAGAAATCTTTTCTTATTGTTTTTTTTTTTTGCATATTCACGTAAATTTAAAATGTTTACACAATGTTTTTTTTTTCAAAAGACACACTCATAATTGTCTTTAGAAAATGTTTATTAGTAAAATTAGCAAAATATGAGCAAAAAAACAAAATTATTATTATTAGATAATCAGCAAGAAAAGAGCTCGTGTTCTTTATTAATTTTAATAAATCGGCAACATAATGAAATCAAAACTTTATAATCAAGTTTCAATAAAGTGTGTGGAACTTAAAAAACAAAAAAAAAAAGAATTTGTTTCTACCACAAGAATGCTGTCCGAAAGAAATTTGATCAAATATTTTTTTTTTTGTTGTGTTTACTGAAAAAATTTTATTGCGTCCACGCGTAAGTAAAATATTTTAAGATTTTAGAAATAATTTCGAAATTTCTTCTATACGTAGGTACTCTAATCTTCATAACACATTTAGACTGATAATTTTAAACTACGAAAAAACAAAAAAAAATTCTTTTAATTTTCAATAAAATTATTTTGAATACGAAATCATGTTTTTTGTGGTTGCTTGTATTCCGAATGCCCTTTTAGAAGATGCTATCTATTTTTTAACTTTAAAAGTCTATCACACTTTTGTATTACAAATTCTGTAAATTCTTCCATCAGATTTGTCAAAGGATTCTAGCCTACTTAAATTCAGCAAATAAACCTCAATTTCAATTGTGCAGATTTATGCACAATCTAGATTTAAAACTACAATCTAGATTTAACACTGCAATATGTACTGCATTTATTGTCATTGCAGATAAAGTTCCTGAAGTATGGACACAACAACAAAATGATCAATAAAAATTATATTTTGCACGGATTTTTTTTTATTTTCGTATAGGTACCTATTTACACTAGTGTGACATCAGCTGTGACAATGCAGAAGTTAAGCATCAGCTGTGACAAAGCAAAAATTGAGCATGTATAAAATTTCCTATGCTCGAAATATTTATTATCTGTACATTTTATGCGCAAAACGAATTACATTGACCTTTGAACCTGTGAATTTTTGTTCATATTAAATATTGAACTCTAGACTTTGTAGTATGTACTGCGAAATATCTGCACGATTGAAGTCAGGGATACATGATCCCTGATATGTGATACAAATATTTTACATTCATTGATTATTTAGTCAGAAATATGAAATTAATGAAATGCTTTTTTTTTATTATGATTTGAATTTCACGAATTTTTACAATAAACAAATACAAATTTATGTACATACATATATCCGTAATACCACACAGTGGTTCTCCACAACTTATAAAATAAATTTTACTCATTTCTTTCAACTCTTAATATTATTTTCTGTTTATACATAAATATACTACGAGTATTGTAAATAGTTATTTAATATTTTGTAAGTAAATTATTAAAATTTTTAAGTGTGGTGTTCAATAAACATTTTTCTAAATTAAAATTATATTCACCTTTTCGTAAACAAAAAACACGTTCTGTGTTTATTTCAAAAATAAATCCTTTTATAATTTTCTGTGTATATTTATTAAATTTCCTCTTTTATTTACTTTCGTTTTTTTTTTTTGTTGTTGTTTTGTAAATGTCAAGTCAATAAAGCACTAATCACGTGACTCGTTTTTACAGTTAGCTGCTAACAGAGTTCACTCTATTTTATTTAATTTATAAATATTATTATGACACAATATGTTTGTATGTAAGTATAACAATTAAATTCTTTCTTCTTTTTGTTTCTGTAATTATTTTTAATTTTTGTATTTATTATAAGAAATAATTATTTATGTATGTATTCATTTTCTAAATGACAGGGGTGGGGGGGTAAAATAGAAAATTGCACAATTGTTTTTTTTTTGTTTCCGTTTTTCTTTTTCTTTGTTTTTTAGAATTAACCCCAAAATTATACCACAAAAATAAAATTATATTAAAAATAAATCACAAAAATTTGTTTTGTTTTGATTATTTTTTTTTTTTGTTATAAATAAATTGTAAAAATTATATTGAGAGAAAATGAAGAAAATAAAATAATTATATTCTGTCTATATTATAAAATATATAATAGGTGGCAGCACTTAAATAACAACACATTCGGCGACTAATATTCATAATGTAATAAATATATATAATTATACTGTATATATATGTATGTGTTTTTGTACTATATATGTATATTTATAATTTAATGACTGGCGCTAAATCAACTTTGCGCACGGTTATATTTATTTTATTTTTTTACTTATTTTTTGTTATTTTTATATTTATTTATTTTTTTTAATTATTACGACTGCACACGCCGCTCCGCCGTAAATTATTGTCGTAGTAGTAGTCGTCGTCGCCGTCGTTATATATTCACCGCGTTTACACAAGAAAATTTTTTAACAAATAATTGTTTACAAATTGTTTACAATTTTACATGAACTTATTATTTCTTGTATGAACTTATTATTTTCGGTATACGTAACCAAAATAGATATTAATATTATAATTGTATATAAATAATAAAATTGATGTGTCAAAATAAATTTAAAGTTTTTTTTTTAATTTAAAAATAAAAATAAATTAATTTTTTGATTTTATAATTTTTTATGCGTTTTTTGTTTTTTAAATAAATTAGAAATATTGCAAAAATATATTTTTTATTTTACAAAATAAATAAATTAAAATAGTATATTAAAATTTTAATTTTTTTTTTTTTTAATTATTTTGCGCCGATATTTTACTCTTACTACAACGAATTGAACAAATTGACTGAATTCAATTGCTTGTCGACGACTGCCTTAAAGTTTATCTCTTTAAAAATAAAAATAATAAGCAAATAAGAAAGAAAAAAAAAACAAGAAAATATTACGCGATTATATGTATATACTATACATACATTTTTATATACTTATAAACCATAAATATAAAAAATAAAATATGTTAATGTACGTATGTAGTAAAAAAAAAAAAACAGCAAAAGTACAAAATAAAAAAAAAATAAAAGTCGGGCAAAAACTCGGAATTTTTTTTTATTTTTATTTTTGCTATTCTTTTGTTGTGGAGCGATAAATTTAGTGATATAATTCACGTGTATATCGTCATTTTTTTTTTTTGGTTATTTTCTTATTTTTGTATTGATAATAGAAAAAGCTTTAATTTTTATTATTTTTTACTTATTTCTATTTATTTTACATTTTCATATTATTTCTGTTACGTTATGTTATGTTATTTTCATGTTGTTTTGTTATGTTATGTTATTTACGTTATTGTATTTGAATAAGTTATTCTTTTCCAAATTAATTAGGTTTCAATTTTATCAAAGATCATCTCGATCAGTATATAGATATTAAGTACAGGGTTCGTTAAATTCAAAGAATAAGTTTTTCGACGAAAAACATAAAACGTTAACGGTATAAAATATAATAAACGGTCGGAATCACTTAAAAACACATGACTCTCGCGTAACCTAGCCGCTCCCATAAGACTTTTGCACATACATACATTGTGTAAATGGTGTTTATCACAGGGTTTGACTCAAAATCTTTCGAAAATATAATTTTGTTGCTTACATACATTATGGAAAAAAGTTTGGTTGTATTCGCGTCCGGACTTAAAATTTTTCTAAAATAAAATGATATTGCGGTAGTAGGAGCGATTCCTATTTACAAAAAACAGAATTAACAAAATAACAAAAATACGAGCGATTCCTATTTGCGCTTTCAGATTTCTAATTTTCAGCATCTTTTTACGGTTATAAGAGCGTTGTATGAACGATTCATATTTTGAAATTGATTTTTTTGAAAATGATTCAGAACATCATTAAAATTTAATTTTAATTTAATTTATATTTTATATAAAGATTTCAATCCATTCTTTTTACTAGTACGATAAAATTATAACAATTTGGATAATTAAAAAATTAATAAACAAATAAAGAAATTTCTTTTATGACCATCTTAATATTGCAAATTAAATAAATTTTAATGAAATCATAATCGTATTTGAAACTAATCCCACAATGAGCTATTATTAATTTTTGTGAAAAAGTATAAACAAAATTATGGAAAAAAGAAAATTATCTAATAAGTACTCTATAAGAAAATAATTCACAAAACTCTTGAGTGAGAGAAAGAGCTTCAGGGCTTTATTTAAAATAAAAAAAATACTGATTATCTTAAAAATAAATTAATAACATTTCTAATTACTATTGTCCTATATACTAATAAATGTGCTCAAACATACCCTATAACGTGATTTAATAGCAAAAGACCTACTAAATATTTAAAATAATTTTTAAATTTCTATAATCAAATTTATTTTGAATAAATTGAAAAATAATAAAAATTTTCAGAATAAAAAGAAAAATGTACTGATTTTTTAAAAATGAAATTTTACAATTTCACGATCAATCAAAAATCATATAAATGATATAAGCGTTGCTTCACTGCCTAACGTGCATAAAAGCATAAAAAATATCGAATTTTTGAAATTATTTTTGGATGGTATGCTTCAATAAATAATTCATGCTTTATAATTCACAAGATATTTTAAATAGAAATAGAAAGTATATAAAATTTTTCTAAAATTAGAAAACTCGAATTCCTTATAATTATTTTCACATGCACTGTGTGTATTTATATGTTCGCCTATATGCACTTCTATAATTTTTTTTTTAATTTATGTTGTAACCGCATACATACATAAGTTCCATTGATTTCTATTGGTTTTCTTGTGTGACCACATTTAAAATAACATACTTAAGATATGATTATCAGACTTTATTACTAGTTCTAAATTTAGATATTCAAGTAAATTCAACACTAAAATGTAAACTATATATAATTACATTAAAAACAACTTTTATTTGTGTCTAAAAATAGAATTTTTATCTTGAACTTTTTGGTAAATAAAATGTATTACAATATATCAGTTAGTTATACAATATATCAGTTATTTCGAGAACAATAATACAAACATTTTGTTTGCTTTGTATATTTGAGTACACACAGCCATACATACATATCGTAATAATTTATAAATGATAAGGTCAAAATTAAATTTAAAATTTTGTAAACAGATTATATTGTGTAAGTAGTTATACACAATATGAAAAATGTGTTCCTTATACGTGCAATTAAGACAATTAAATATTTACATTTAAAACGGAAATACATACACATACGTATACATACGCACACAAGCAACGGAACAGAGAAAAAATTAATTGAATCTTTGTTTCTTTATTATTTCGTATATTGTACATACAAACTTGGTCAGAAAAATTCTAAATATTTAATATTCTTCCTATTTTGTATGCCAAAATACTTTGTTAGATACCAAGGTAGAGCTTATTAGAAATTTTTGTAATAGAACCAAAATACATACAATAGGATCACTTAAATCAGAGTAGGATCACATCAATATCTGATCAGAACATAAGCCCCGATTAATTTGATTCGTTAAATACATTTCAAAAAATGAAGTTGCTTATTTAAATACTTGTGCCCTCTAGTAAAAATTTCGTTCCGTTAAATTTTTCTACTTTAATCTAGATTGATACAGGTTAGTTATTATATCATTATGAAAAGTTAGTCCTTGATCTTTAATCTAATTACAATATTGGTTTAAATAAACAAGTTAAATGAACTTCAATATTATATATTCAAAGCTTGTAGACTGGTTCACTTTAAAACTAAATTCATATTGAACAGCAAAGAAAAAAAAATTTTAAAAACCATATCTCACAGACAATAATAATCTTTATATGACATGCATGTAAATGTATGTCATTTTGTGGTTAATACAGACATCAGACATATTATATGTACGCTATATTTATATTCATATTGTATAACATTAAAACTAAAACTTGATAAAAAAATAAAAAAATAAAACTAATCTTCAAACACCACGGGAGCTTTTTTTTTAAGTTGAATTAAATTTAAAAAACCATTTGAATAGATATGACCAAGTGCACAGTATCTTACCAAATTTACAAAAACATGCTATTTTTTTAACAAGTTATGTTATAACAAAAGTTTTCACCATTCCAATTCGACTTCGTTTAGTTCACCATCTCAATATGAAAAAACTGGCGCCTGAGCAACATTTCAAAAATATTAATATATATTATGATATGTTAAATTAAGAATGCGTTCAGTTAGCAATTAGAGTTTCTATTGTGGAATTGTCAGTTACCCACTGACTTTATGCAGTTTGTCGGCTCTGTCTATGTTATGTATTAGGAGTAATATAAATGTTTGTTTATATCGATCATTCGGTATCGATCAAGAATGACAATTGGTGATCCCGCCAAAATATATTCTAATAAGAATTTGATTCAGCATATGTACGAAAGTTTTTTTAAAATAATGTACTTTCAACAAATCGACCGGACACTGTATATAACAAAAACAAATTATAAATATATACAATTTGTTAGTATCAGTGATGATGAATCATATTTCAGTGTTTAATTTCAACATAACTCACTATAACTTAGAATTGAATTTATTAAAAAATGATATTTTCTCAATCAGGTTTGCTCTTTAATTTTTTTCTTGCTCACTTTTTAACATTTACCTTAGATGAGAAAACAGATGGCAACCGCGAAGAGTGAATATTGAATAAAAAAAAAACTGGCATTATAAATATTTTTTTCCGGCATTTTCATTGTATGGTAACAGAAGATTGTCTATTTATTCTTGAATATTGTTTATTATAGAAACGCGTGATTTCATCCACATGACCGTGCAGATAGAATCTAGAGAATAACAAAAAAAAAAAATAATAAAAATAAAGCTATAGAATAAAAACTTTAAAAAAAATTTATAAAACATAATTTGTTTTCGTTTTTCCCATGCTTCCACCTGATCTATTCACCTTAGTTTTTATACTCGTATCTTTGTTCATTACTCCTATAATGTGTTATGTATGTATTGTTGTTATTGTGCCGGTAAATCTTTGTTAATAATCGATAATTTTTGTTTTACGTAAGGATTCTATAATTAGCTTGTAAAAAGCTTATAATTTAATTAAATTATATGTTAAACAAATTAAAATTTTTCAAAGGCGTTATTAATATTAATTTTTTTGAATAAAAAAATTTATTGAATTAATTTATTAATGAAATGAAAGAATTTCATATATTGACTAGTAATATTTCGAATATTCTTTGAACATATGTACGAATGTATGTATTCAAAATGAAATTAATTAAAAATCCATCGAATATTTGATGTCAAATTAAAAAATAATAAAATAAATATTAAAATTGTTTTCTATTTGAAAAAATTTTTGGGTATGACGAGATAGTGTATATTTTTGGAATAAATTAATTTTTGGAAATACAAATGGAAGCTCTTAAAGATAAAATATATTTACCGCCAAAATTAACCTATAAGATTTTAGAATGTGATTTTCTAATATTAACAGAAATTAAATATTTAAGAAACTTATACGCTATTTCAGATACAATAAATTTAATACTATATTGGTCTAAAATTAATATTTTTGAAAACTGAATAATTAACTTGCTAAAATTACGTGTTAGAACTTGAGAATTTCATTAATGAAAACACAAATTTTTATGTTTCTATTTATAAAATCTGATAAAACTATGATTTTATTAATTTAATCATAAAGTGACATAAAGAAAAATATAAAAATTATATTTATCTGGTGCTCACTAAGTATTATACACAAAATAATACAAAAATATTGCCGTTTCAAAATCTTATTTTATTATAATTGCAAGTATTTTAGATTAAAAAATTAATATTCTTGTCATAGATAATAAAAATTAATTAAATAAAAATTTTTTAATAATTTTATCGTGTTATGTGCCAGAAATAAAACAAAAAGATTTTCAAATAAATAAAAATTATTTGAAAATTTTATTTGAAAAAAAAAATTTAGG